TTCCCTGCCTCCTTGCTCTGCTAACCAGGCAGCAGCCCTTCATGGCACTTTGCCTGTCATCCACATCTGCCCTTCTGTGGGCAGCAGGATCAGCCATCACATTTCCACAACAGTAGGCTTCATGTTTCATCTGAAAAACTGTCTTGTAGTGTATATTAGGTCTCTTCTGTCAAGGCTCATGATTTCTTTAACTTGCATAGCAGGTAGCAGAGACACAGACAGAAAGTCAGGTCTTAACAAACAAGTGAAAAAAGTTACTCCCAAGGAAGGAAGGGAACAGAGAAGCTCGCCATTTATCTGATACTAGGTAGATGTCAGGCATCACAAGAGACTGTTTCTCAGTTTGGGATTTGGCCTAAAGGTAATTCTCAGGTAATTTTCTTTGAAATATATTACTTTGGATGTTAGGCCATAACAACAGGGAGGCTTCCCAAGGTTCTGTCAGTGGAGAAATCTCATCTCTACCATTTCTGCAGCTTTACTCCTTGTTCCTCATAGTCCCAAACCAAGTTTAATCTGTAAGTCTACCTGCAAAATGTTTTTTGTGGAAGAGAGGCTTGTACAGCAGAGAGCTGGCTACAAAGCTTGATTGCAGATGCTGATCTGTGAGAGGATATTGGTGGCACTGAGATCCCCCACAGTAACACTACTGTGTGTGGCATCCTTTCTGGGCCTTGTCCACACAGCTGCATCACATTCCCCCTGCAGACACTGCTCCTTACACCACTGCAGCTGCCTCCCTCCCCTGCCAGTTTGTTTCCTTGCTGCCAGTGCAGGGTTTGCCTATCCTCTCTGAGATGATGGATGTTTCATTTGTGATTGGGGTCTTTATTCCATGCAGGCAACTGAAAGGGCTTTGCAAAAATAGCTCACCACCTCACAGACAAGAAATCTGATGTGCAGAGATAGGAAATAGCCTTACTTGCTTTGGAGGGTATTTTAACACTCCCCACCACCTCAGTAACCTCTCACAAGAACAAATAACCTTCTCCCTGTTAGTACAATCAGGAGGCCCCTATTTTCTTAAGGTCCTGGAAAGATTAAGTGACACAGGTTGCACAGGAAGTCTGGAGGGAGCACTGGAAATAGAAGGGGGCCCTCCTGAGTCCCTCCACAGTGCCTTGACCACAAGACCATCCTTCCTCTCCCAAGGTTACACATCAGGTCTGTGGAGGAGCCAGGAATAGTACCCAAGCTTCCTGACACCAAAGCCACCGTCCCTCACTGGGTACCTAGAAAGCACAAATATCCATTTAAAGCAATTCATAAGCCCATGTCTTGCAATTAAACCCAAGACATGTTGTCTGAACCCAAAGCTTCCTGTTTCAAAAGCTGTGACACACTCTGCTTACAAAGTTCTCTTCCACCAACAGGGCAGGTAACACCTCCCCACAGCTAATTTCTCCTGCTCTTTCAGTGCAAGAACTCTTAGTTCCTGGCATGTCCTGCCCATGCCAACCCTGCAAATGCTGCTTTGCCACAGTGAAACAGGTTTGCAGGCAGAGGTCTGGGCTGAGGGGTGCCTTCTTTGGCCACCCTGTTGAGATCTGGCGCTGAAGGGGGCCAAGCCCTCCCTGGCCACTGCAGGGCAGAGGGGAGGAGATGTTGCAGGCTAAGGTGAGGGCATGAAGGAATGGTGCTGCAGTGGTGGCCAGAGGAGGGACCCCAGGCTCCCACGGTCCTGGCACAGCACTCAGGCTGGCACCAGAGGGATGAGCCACCCCAGGGGCAGACTCTGCTAGACCAGCCATGGGATTTTGCATCCCCCACCAGTAGGCAAACACGCTGCATCCATGTGTCCTGCTTCCCAGGGGAGAGCTGGGGATGTGCTGTGTCAGGGGGGTATGGTGTCCATGCTCCTGCAGCTCGTTGGAGCCTTTCCACTAATGTCAATGGGCTTTGGATCAGGCCCTGAATTCTCAGCTGTCCCAGCTAAAAGGCCTCCCCAGGCAGGGTCTCCTCCCATTTTAGAAAGAGGAGGCCTTTCAGACACCCTGCTGACAGGGAGGTTCCTGCTGCTTTTTGGCAGCAGAGCTCCTGTCCTGGGTGAGCACTGCAGGGGCAGGGCAGAAGCGGGCGGGCACCTCGGCCACCCCATGCCCGCTGCCTGTGTCTCCTGCAAGCACCACTTGGCACCCACACGTCCCACCCACCTTCTCTCAAGCAAACTCACACATGACTTCCACCTCCTGCCCAGATCATCCTTTTCTTTTCCCAGAAAGGCCCAAGTACTACAGGTGAGGCATAAGGATCCAGACCTTCATCTGACACCATGTAAAGTAGTACTTGCTGTAGCACTAAAGACCTGATGTTATCAAGGCACTCAATAACCTCCTGTTCCTTACCACTGTTTCTACAGATGCAGCATCAAGAGGGCCCAACTGAGATCATGGCACTGACTGGAAGAAGTGCAGTACCTCATAAGAGACAAGTCTGTTTCAAAAAGCCTGGGAAGAAGAAAAAGCAGAAAGATTGAAGAGCAAATTAATAGCAGAGATGGCAATAAAACTTACCAAGGCTCACCTGTTTGTCCGATCTGTGAGATTATGTTCTCTGAACACTTGCTGCCATACATACTGCCATGCCTTGTTTAATATATGGTGCATTGACTGGTTATTGGTAGGTCATCATGTTCTGTTCAGACTGTTACTGACAGACTGGTTTTTAGTATCTCATCACTCTCCTCGTGAAGAGTTTCCCTAAAAAGACACTTGGGCATAAATTATAAGAGAATAAACCTGTTGAGTTGTTTCAGGAAAAGTGAGTCAGTAGATCTTGTCTAAAGTTTGGCATAGCAAGGTCTTATAGACAGACAAGTCCCTGCAGTTACCCTGAGTTTTCAATTGACCTCACACCAAAGTACAGCTCTAGTGGTTCATGTACTTACATACATTGAAACAAAGGGAGCACATATACACTTTACAGATACAGATACAGATACTCAGATGATAAAGTTGTTTGATTTTATATCTGCTGTCCTACTCTTCATGTTTAGGATAGCATCCTCCTCCCCTGAAGTGAGTGGGAACAGAAGATTTTCATCAGATCCCCAAAGCTGCAGGAGACAGACCACAATGATTTGGGTTCAGTTTTAATGGAGCAAAAAGGACAATATTTCCTAGATTTCCCTTTTTTTCCTGAAGTGGAAGAACACTTTGCCTGCTTCTGAATGGCTTCTGGTAATTAACACACAGCACAAGTTGAATGAGAACTAGATAGGGCAAAGTTAATAGGGAAAATTGCCTGAACTTTTGGGGCCAAGCCAAAGGACGGGATCATACCCTGCCCCAGTACAAAGGCAACAGGCACCAGGGGCAGAGGAGAAACCAAATATGCAACTGATACTTCAGACAGGTATCATACCCAGGAGAGCTGTGGCCATCAGCCAATTCAGTGTCACCCTTTCCTGGCAAGGGAAGTGCCACCCCCCACAGATGTGACTGAGGGACCTCACGTCTCATGGGTGTGCACCCTGTTCCTGAGCCTGGGACCCTCACCAGAATGCCCTGGGTATCTCAGACTCCCCTGAGCTCCAGACATGTGCTTGAGGTTGCAAGAAATGAAAAGCTGAGTCACAACAAACCCCACATCTGGTTCACGATGGAGTGCACTTGTGTTGCTCTTCCTCAGGAAGTGATGTCAAACGTGTTTATGTGGACACAACCCAACATGACTGAGCAAACATTACTCTAGGTTTTGGCAGACATTTGCCTTTGAGGTAAGAGTGAGCACAACCATGGGGTCAACAGTTCAGGAGGTTAGGAGGGGAAAAAGAGGGATGCTGTACACAGAATGAGTCGTTCCCCAGTCTTTGTGACAGGTGTCAGTCCTACTCCATCCACCCATGAGTTCACAGAAGCCTGTCAGATGCCTAGTGGCAAGGTTCAGTCAGTTCATCATCAGTTACGGAATGAACATAGCACTCTGGTTATCATTAATAATATTTATTTTGGAAAAATATTTTTAAAATGAATTTCTTCATTTACAAAACAGTAAAAAAACCTCAAATAACATTTGCACAATATTCCATAAATACATTTATATACAAAAAAATATAGTCACATAGACCCGAAGTGCCTTTGTACATATTTACCAAAAAATTTAAATTATAAAAAATGAACATCACAAAATACTCAAGCTTTACAATTATCATGAAAATATTTTTACAGATTCAAAAAAATAACACACTTTTTCTCACCTAGTAAAAACACATTTTAATATCAAAAAAGACAATAAAGGCAGTGTTTGTGTCTCTAATTCAAGAAAAGACTGGCTCATAAGAATCCAAAATATACACTTCAGGCAGTGCATGCTTCTTATGTAGTAATTAAGTCCATTCATTTAAATATATATAGAAAAGCAACTGACCATAGTGCAATGATAAAATTCATAAAAGGCAGTGCAACAGTAATCCTTGAACACAGACCCTTGCCTGGTGTCCCTCTTGTTTCTTTATTTTGCAGTCACTTTGCTAACTTCAGTAGAGAACCAGCTCAAGCCTGAATTTAGTTTCTCAGCAGCAGTCAGTGAAGGAATCTATCTCCCATTCCTCTTTCAGCAGCATTCATCGGGGCACGTCTCCTCTGAAATTGTTCTGAACACCCATCTTGCCATATCACCTCTGGTTTACACCTGGCAAGAGAAAATACGAGCAGAGATTGGGAAAGGTTAATGGAAAGGCTGCAGAGGGTCAGGACTCTCTCTTTACACTGGGCAAGAACGGGCTGTGCATGAAGCACAGGGCTGGGTCAGCAGTCCACAATCACACTATCATTGTACCCTTGTCTGCAAAAGTCATTGTACCCATAACATCCACAGCAGCAAGTCACTGAACTTATCTTTACAACATCCACAGCACAACAAACACAAGCTGGAGGGATTTCAACAGGTAAAAATCAATGTGGCACCATGGAAAAGAGATGAGCTGCCCTGACATTCCAGGTGGGGATCTCACAGCAATACTTTTCTCTGCTGATCCAACTGCCAGGCAATATACTAACCTCAGTTGCTATGATGCACTCATCTTTCTCT